CTTTCTGCGTATAGATGACTCATAGATGGAGTGAAGAAAAACATCACCAGTGAATAAGAAACCGTTTTCGGAAATTTAGAAGTCGTCGCCTGAAAAAATGTGGTATCCCTCATCAGAGAATTGGGCTAAATCACAAGGAAATTGGACACCATCACCACAGGCACGGAGGTGAAACGAATCAAGACTGATCCCTGCCCATTATATATATTTATAAATAACCCCCCGAATTGTTTCAAAGCTCCAGTTGATCTATTCAAACAAAGAAGAAGCTGTTTATATTGAGATCGTCACCGGATTCCTTTTTTTTTTTGCTGACATTGTTCCGAGGCAGTTGCCACGTAAGAAGCGAGGACACCTATCTATAAGACAGAACAATGACATCACGAGTTGATACGGGAGAGCCTAGAAGTCACCCAAGAGCTCGAAGATCGTAGGTAAAGCCATGGGGTATAAAAGGTAATCCGGAGGTGACGAACTTCTTCTTACTTTCCATGAAATGCATCGAATAATTACAAACTGCAAGTCATCATGGTGTATATCGTCGACGAGGAAGTGTAATTGTCGATACAATATTTTAATGCGAAAGAAGCAATTGTGTGTGTGTTTCATGGAAGATGAACATGTAACGGCAGATTCGAGGGAAACTCTACTTACTACCCGTCATCTTACGACTGCAATGAAAGGCTTCGTCGAAGAACGATTTGCTGAAGACATTGCTATGAAGCCTCTAGATTAATTCGGACGGCTTTCCGACTCCAAATATTCACCGTTGTTTGGCGTTCCGGTCGTAGTACTTGGCCTGGCCTGTTCCATGCGTCGTGCGCGTTCAGCAAATCTCTCGCTTCGTTCCATCGCCCGTAGCAACTTCGCGTGATATACTGGAAGCTCGCCAGCCTCCGTCAGTACTGGCCGTCGCAGGATCTCGTTGGGCGAGCGTAGACAGGGACCCATCGCTAGCTCGTTTGGCGTGACCGCCACAGTTGAGTGCTTAGCTGAATTGTAGGAATTTACAGCAAATTTTATGCAGAAGTTACAGTCATTCTGTTATTCATCCGCCATTAACATCGCCACAAAATTTTCCAGGTGCGATGAAATCGTCCCACAAGCCCAACAAGTTGAGGCAGGTAGGGCACCGAGTTAACTGGCGGAGCCTGCATCGTCATCACCAACTTTTCAATGACCTTGCCTGCACCCCCTCCGTTAGCAACTCAGGAAACACCACAAATTTGAGCCCCACTGCTTCGAGTAGACATGTAGCGATATTTTCTGCCGTGTGGTGTATAACGCACCTCGCCACAGCGTAGCGTGTTACATATTCCACTGTCATGATCACGTATCTTTCACCACCGTGTGCCACTGGTACTGTCCAGCAACATCGAGGGCCTACCTGTCCCCAACATCACCGCGTTGGATACTACGCAATGGCGGGATGGCCTATCGCGATCTCGCTTTTCTACTCCCGCGCTCCAAACACCCACGGCCCCATTGGTTCACTTCTCGATGTAGATTAGAGCACAAGTAGCGTTGAGCAACGCGCCCATAAATGTGGGTACCGCGCAAGTGGCCCACTCATACAGACCCGTACGCTTCCTTCAAGTTTATAGGTTACAGTTCGGGTAGTGGCAGCACCCGACGTCCTTGTTCTGTCGTGATGACGACCCGGCCGTGCACCTTCTTGACTGGCGTGCCTTGAAACGCACCAACTTGAGCAACTTCTTCACCAAATTGCTTCTTCTCTGCGCCGACTCGATCTCGTTATCACAGAGCTGCAGCGTTAATGCGAGCACCGGTGCCTGTTCCTCCACGGTGTCGTTCGTTCATTCCGCGCACCACCACTGCTGACTCGCCGTCCACGGTGATGCCCTCCGTTCGTACTTCATCTGTTTTCGTTGACACCCGCCGTGGTGGCATTGTGTGCGCTTCGGCGTCGCCCACCATCAACGTCGTGATGGGTTCGGCCCACGCTGTCTACCATCACGCTCGCGTCCTACACGTCAACGGCCGATGCCATACCTATCAGGTCATCCACAGTGTAATGGGCTCACTGTGTGCCCACTACTTCTGCTTACACGCTAGCGCACGTGTATGAGGAAGCGTAGTTTGCTTAAACTTAGATTAACTATACTTACGTCTCGTAAGTATAGATTTACTTAAATAAGAAAGCAAAAGCCGATTTACCGTAAAATTGAGAACTGTTATTTATGTTTATGTTTTGGGTTTGG